CAGCCGCTGCTGAAACTGACCAGCAGCGGCTGAATCAGGGACTCCTGGGGCAGAGCCGGACTATCAGAAGGGAAGGCTATGAGGGGGTCTGGGGTAGCATTCCCCCCACCCCACCCCAGACCCCTCATAGCCCCCCCTTCTGATAGTCCGGCATATCTGATAATCTGGCACCCCCTGGGTCCTAAAGGTGCAGGATTATCGGAAGTTTACTGTACTATTTCTTGAAGTAATCATTTGAGAATCAGATTTAGAAGGAGGTGATCGGATTATGTTCACTCAACACAGCAATGCTCAGATATTCAAAATGCAATTAAGAATTCATACAGCACCCAAAGCATTCTATGTGCTTGTCATCTGAATATGTGGGAGTTAAAGCACGGTCAAGTCAAGTGTGTGAGTAAGGAGAAATACAGCGAGAGTGCTCCGATAGTGATTTAAAGGTCCTGAAACTCCAGGCACCACAGCTGCTCCAGTAGCAATGGCTGGGAGCCTCAGGTCCTTTTGAATCACAGGTCTCTGGGGCAGTTACCCACTTTGCTTCCCTGTCAGCAGGCATGAATGGAATGGCTCCAAGGAAGTACGACAAGACAGCGAGCACTTAATCACTTATGTATCACTTAAACCTAGTCCATATGAAAGCTGGCTCAAGGGTCATATGAAATATACTGTAGGTCTCAATTACCTCACAATCACATATCCATATCACAAAAATCCACACAACTGCATTGCTGGTGGAACTCTAAGAGAAGGGCAAAGACTGAGAAGACAGTAATTGAATCACATTTTCACTCTTTGTCAGGTTGAGATACATTAAGGCTGTGTCTAGACTGGCCAGTTTTTCCAGAAAATCAGCCACTTTTCCGGAAAAACTTGCCAGCTGTCTACACTAGCCGCTTGAATTTCCGCAAAAGCACTGACTTCCTACTGTAAGAAATCAGTGCTTCTTGCGGAAATACTATTCTGCTCCTGTTCAGGCAAAAGTCTCTTTTGCGCAAAGCTTTTGCGTAAAAGGGCCAGTGTAGACAGCTCAGATTTGTTTTCCGCAAAAAAGCCCCGATCGCGAAAATGGCCATCTGGGCTTTTTTGCAGAAAAGCGCATCTAGATTGGCACGGACGCTTTTCTGCAAAAATGCTTTTGCGGAAAAGCGTCCGTGCCAATCTAGACGCTCTGTTCTGAAAATGCTTTTAACAGAAAACTTTTCTGTTAAAAGCATTTCCAGAAAATCATGCCAATCTAGACGCAGCCTAAGTGATGATCCATTCCTTCTATTTAACCAGATTCTTATATGGGTCTTATCATTTCAGTACCTGCTGCTACCATGATGTACTTGATCTGTGGATAGAGGACTTTAGTTTTCAGTCCTGTCAGTCCAGAACCTTCCATAAGCACTACATGCACTTGGTGGTGGGAGCAAATAGCACAGACAGTTAGACAATGTGACATGTCCTGGACAGGGCAACATAGCATAGAAGACATTTCTGACTTGGACCAAGAAATCACTTAACAACTGATGAGATTGTTTCAAGGAAATCCTAACACAAACTTTCTTCACTCCATGAGACCACAAGAGAAATGAACACTGATAGAATCCTGTTATTTTTGGAATCTTGGAGCATACTTGTGGGGAGGGAGGCAGGAGGAGAGGACATATGCAGAACCTCAGGGAGCCAGATGCAACATCACAGCTGAACATTCTGAATAAATTATATTTTAAAAATTCCTTTCTTAAGCAGTTTAGAGGAGCAGCCACTGTATGTACTGAGTGATGCAAAAAAGCAGGGTGAGGGAAGACTATTCTTTCCTACAATGTTTTATAAATAAATCACACAGATTCCATCTGTTAGATCACCTCATCTTTCCCATGCAAATACAAAGCATAGTCCCAGGAGAGAAGATACACTAGATATTAAACAGACACTTCTGCACACTAGAACTGAGTTGGAAAGCCGTGAAAATAGTATAATGAGATGGCTTCAGCTACCGTACCAATATCTGAAGCTACGCAGTAAAACCAAAACATAACTACAGGTTGTACCTCGCTTAACTGGGACTCCCGGGCAACATCTATAGTCTGGCATGGATCTGGTCTGGTGGCAGGGCAGAAGCACCATAAGGGGCAACTGGAGACTCCGCCAGGAGCCCAGAGTGTGTGTGGGGGGGGGAGGGGAAGTGGGCGGCATGGTAGGGAGTTCTGGCTCCAGTGGAGTTCCCTAGACCCAGTGGCTGGGGAGCTCTAGCCTGGCAGCGATCGTGGCGCTCCAAACCCAGTAGCTATCCCTGCCTGCCAAGCTATTATGTTTTTTAAACAACACAAAAGTAAAATATGTAAGAGCTGAACAACAGATAGCAAAATACTTTTGAACCCAGTTTGGTGGTGGCAGATGGGCAAAAGCTGACAATAACGTGAAGAGTTAAACACTCTAGGTACCTTCTGCGCAACAATAAATCTGAGCAGTTATGTCTGTTCACCATTTGAGAAGCGAGCAGTTATGAGACACTACATTTGCTTGCATGTGTTTTTAGGCTAGAATTGACCATTATGATCATCTAGTCTGGACTCTTGCATAATGCAGGACATATGACTCCTGGTTCAAACCATAACTTTTGGTTGATCTAGAACATATTTTTTAGGATGACATCTAGCCTTGATTTAAAGATATCAAGTGATAGCAAATTGGTAAGCTGTTCCACTGGTTAATTATTCTGCATCAGATATCTTACTATGGCAGTATTTCTTAAACTGTGTTCTGTGGCACATGGCACACCGGTGTGCTGTGAGGCAGTCGGAGGTGTGCCGCTGAGAACAACAGAATTCAAAATGGCCACCCTTAAAGGGGCAGGTGACCTTTTTTTTTCTCTCATTAACTTCCCCTTCCCTTCCTCCCCCCCGCCTTTTTTTTTTTCCTCAACAAAAAATCCTTGGTGTTCCTCATAAAAAAAATTGTTTGGTGTTCCTCGGTCTTCAAAAGTTTAAGAAACACTGTACTATGGGTACCTGGAACATGAATAAACACAAGTTTGAACTGCATGTCTTTAAAGTAAACACATTCTTATTCACCTGCCATCAATGGGACTTACTCATGCACTTAAGAACTTCTCTGAACAGTGCTTTCAGGCTTCTGAGGATATGAGATCTCTCTCTCTCCAACTACACTCACTTGACTGGCTAAACATTTTAGATTTCTTCCACGAGGTTGTCATCATTCTGACCATCAAAGCACATTTACCTGTAGGAAGGCCCTTCCCTCTTAGCCTGTCCCGAATGGCCTGGCTTCTGTCTGTCTGCAATTTTCTTTCTCCATTGCAGGAAAGCTGATCCACCTGTAAACAGGCAGTAATATGAAGTCAATTGTTCAGAAAAGACCACATTATCGTGAAGACTGGATACCTCAGAACAATAGGCCAGCACAGTTAGCAGGACATTTTCTCTCTCTGACAAATGAATGTTCAAAAGAAGTAATATCCAGTACTTACACTACAGTTTCTGGAAATTCAGAATTTCTTCACTGACTTAGGATTATCAATTTGGATTTCCCCTCCGGTAATTCTGTAGGAACCTTTCCCTTCTAATATTACATTAGTAATACTTTTTCACTATATGTTCATCATAGTTTCCCCTCGAAATAAATAGAAAATAACTCCAAAAATCTACAACATAAGTGTTCCATTTCAGTAAACTGGACGTAGAAGAATGAAAAGAAATAAGGAAATATTAAGAAATAAAATAACTTTAGATATTCCATGATGACATACAGTAGCTATATTGGATGCCCATACAGTAGCTTTAATAGTGTTTCCTTCAGTGTTTCCATAATTCAAAAAACAAAAAAGGAAATTCCAACTCTTGAGAATTTACCACGGCTTCCCAACTCTTTTAAAAACATGTTAATTCAGTACATATATTTATCTGATATTTGCATACAAATAATTCAAATAATCTCTTTAAATTGTGCTGACAATTTTTACCTACCTTTTCTGTAAATCAGAAAATAACCATCAGAATTAGGATAACACCTTGTGCAAAATCAAGCTATTTTCTATCTATTAAAATTACCGAGGGGTAGCCATATTAGTCAGTAGCCAAAAACAAAATAATCCCCCTCCATACACACCCTTAGAAAACAACAATGGTCCTATATCACCTCAGAGACTAACCAAAATATATAAATAGCATCATGAGCTTTTATGGACACAACCCACTTCTTCAGATGACAATGTGGGACTCAGATATTCCAGTAACTTGGTAAAACAGGGATATGAAAGACAGCTGGCTAAGGCTATGTTCAAGTATCACATGGGTAATGTTGATTGATCGAGGGAAACAGAACTAACAGGAACACAACAAACAATACCTCAACCAAAGTCTTTTTAACACCCCTTCTCACTTATTAAGGTGGTGAACAAAGAGGGGCTTTTGATGGATTCACCTTTGATCCTGGAACTTTAGGCTTGTTTTGCCACTACTAGGTTTCCCATCAATACTGGCCAAGATGAATGGCTGATCAAAGTAATTCATATCTTTGTTGCTTCCAGTCTAATGCTATTCTATACACTGTTCTCTGGGACTCATCTGTTTAGCAAGAGACATCATTAAGAATATTCAAAGTAATGCTCTGCACTCTACTTATTGCTTATCTAGGTCACAGTCCAAACCAATTTTAAAAGCTTCAGATTGGTGGGACTCTCTTGCTCTGCATTGCAGAAGAACAGCTACATTGAGAATTACCATGGAGAAGCTCAGATACCATACTTTCAATCACTAAAAAGATTCAGCTACCATGCTTAGGTTGACAGAAACTAGAGTATGCCTCACAGCTCTTGCTCTCTTTTGAGAGGCTGTGAGTATGGAATCAGTGACTGCTGGAGATTAAATTGAGCATCTCCTCATGCAGAAATTTGCCAACCAGATTAGCAAGGCCCTGACAGCACTGGAATCTCTCATCTCTAGAAAAAGGATATCAAGCAATGCACTTTTCTGTGATCATACTGGTCACGTGCTCAGGATCCATTTTTACACCATCATTGAATTAAGTATAAAACTGTGTGGTAACATAGTGGCAAATCAGACTCACAGCATCCAATATATATGCTCCAGCTATTCTGTAGAACTACTTTGACAGAGTGATCTGATTGCCGGTATGAGAGATATTCTTTAAATGAAAATACTGGAAGTACTGTTTGGCATCATTAACAGTTAGCAAGCTCCATCTCAATTCAGAGTCCTAAAATTAACCATTATATGAATGTGACGTAAAATCATAGTGAAGGGAGAGGTTTCCAATCAGGAACAATAATTTTGTGAGCTGAAATAATGTAGTATATTTTATATATGAAAATAACAAATGTAGCTGTCATGTTATGAATTCCCTCACAGTACTAATGGCTGACAGCTAGCAGATTCTGACAAGAATTCAGAAGTCTGATGACAAATTCCCTTATTTCCCTCAATAAATAACTGTCCAAAAGAGAATTTAATACATATAAGAGAAATCCAGCTGGCTAAAACAAATGTGTTAAACACCTGTCCCATAGCATCTATTCAAACTTTTGTTTTCTATAATCACATTTGCCTATTTTAAAAAAAAATGTTTCTCCCCACTGCTGTGTGGAAGACCCAAAATAATGGAAAAATTGACATTACTGGGGAAATTGTGACTGTGACTGTGACCACTTGCACAAACTCTTTCTGGTGCAGCTTGTGACAAAAGCAGGTAAAAACATTCAGAAAGAAGTGTAATTTTTAGACTGTCCCTCTCTTTTATAAAGTTAGGAAAAGATACAGATAAGAAGCAAGACTGGTTGGAGGGAAACTGAACCAATTTCTTCACTATGTTTTTGCAATTCTCAGTTAGAGCTTAGCTGCTTGTAAACACTTACCCCAGAGAGGCTTCCCAGAACTAGTTTAACCAACTGTTTCACGTAGGAGAAAGACGGTGCACAATTACTATTCCTTATGTGGGCACTGCAGGCATCCAGCACAGTCCGTACAGTCACACGGGCATACATAACATCTTCGCACATGCCAAGCAGTATGCTGTTTAGGTGATCCCCAAGCTTGATAGGCTAATTACAGAGGAGAGAAGGATTAAACAACAATACTTAAGTATCTATAAGCCAAATTTACAAATAGGTTGATTTTGTAAAGTTTCAAATTACTTTCAATATTAATGCATTTTGGTATTTCTGAAAATTCCACCTATACACTTCAACTGAAAAAATCTCAGTGATAGGGAAAGCAGAATGATCTAGAGGTTATGGTACAGGGGACTGCAATTCAGGATCCTGGATCTAAATGTTGGCTTTGTCACTAACCTGTTTCATCTTAGGCTCATCACACAGTCTGCAAATCAAGTATAATAATATTACCTATTAAAGATGTTAGGGCTAATTACAGTTTTTAAAACACAGTCTTGAATAATAACTATACTCATTATATCTGCTAACCATAAGATATTTGGAGCCGGTATTTGTAGGAACTTGCTGACGAGCTTTGAGAAGTGTACTAAAAAGGCTTCTATCATCCTTTAGCTAGTCCCAACTTTTACTTCAACCGGATTTGTATTGTCATTGTTAGAAAGGTGTTAAGATTGGCTCACCAAGTACCTCATGATTAGCAATTCTATTAGCAATGGCACTTATTATTCAAGATTATCAAATGTTAAAATCCTTTCCAAAGTCCAGAAAAGTTTTAAGAAACTGTTAAGAAAAGGGTAGGACTGAGGAAACAAAGTGATTGGCTAAATAAGTAAAGCCCTTGCAATTATGGAACAATACCCATAGGATTAGGAACTACTTAGCCTTAATTTTTCCCCATCCAAAGAGTCAATCCTATCATATTTTAAGTGCAATCACACTCCAGGGTATGGAGCAGTCAGTGATAACACCACTTCCCAGACACTGTAGGCACTTGACCTTCAACACTGTGTCTCACTATGCACCCAAGGTGTGTGGTTATCAAAGGCATACATGTCCTGTCATGTGTAGCTCTTTACTGAGCACACTAAATTTCATAGTGTTTCCTTCCATTTATTTTTAAGCTTACTACAGGTTGAACCTCTGAAAACCAGTACTCTCCAGTCTGGCAATATCCATGGTCTGGCAGGACCACAAATACTCCTGGACCAGAGAGCCCAGAAGCTTAATGTTAGGAGGGCCAGCAGCCCAGCTGAGGGCAGTGGGACCAGAGCCCTACAAAAGTGCTGAGCACTGGCTGGAGAATCCCAGCAGCCCGTGACAGCATGGAACCAGAGGAAGAAGAAGCTTGTCTGCCCGCAGCAGCATGGGGCTGGAGAATCCTGACAGCCTGCTGTAGCGCAGAGCCAGGGAAATCTAGACACCCATGGCAGCATGGGGCCAGAGAACTGCGGCAGCATGCAGCAGCACAGAACTAGGGAAACCTGGCCACCCTCAGCAGCACAGGGCCAAGGAACCACAGCAGCACAGGGCTAGGGGCTGGAGAACCCCTGACACTCTTGACAGCCCAGGGCTGGAGGACCAGTGGCAGCAGGGCGGACAGCCTGGAGAGCTTGGGGGCCAGAGGCAGGGGGCCAGCTGGCTCAGGGCCAGTGGCAGGGAACCTCTGCCCTGGTTCGGGACCAGTCAGGTCCTAACGTTGCCGGACCAGGGAGGTCTAACCTTATAAAAATGTGTTCTGCATCAGTCTGATTTAACATACTGAATTAATATAGGCTTTTATCATATACACACCAATAGGCATTCCGGGATTGCAGTAAATTTTTAAGGGAAAATTTCTTTCTCTGGAATCATAGTAGAGAAGCTAAAACAACACTCTCATCAGCTAAAAGAAAGCAATCAAGATCAGCAACCATTTATAAATTGTACATCTTACACCTGTATTACACTGAAAAAAATGTCAGGATTAAAGACAAATTAAATAGTGATGATTTAAGGGTTTTAATTTTTTATATAGTCAATCTGTGACCTCTGCTGGAATGTTATTTACTAGCACTTACCACATACTTACAGGAAGAGGATGATAAATTCACCGCATGAAAGTTGCTCTATTTTAGGATAACAACAGTTCATTTTCTTTTAGAAACAGGTAAAGTGCTCACAATTATAGCCAATTCCCTCGGGCTGTGTCTAGACTGGCAAGCTGCTTTTGCGGAAAAACTTGCCAGCTGTCTACACTGGCTGGTTGAATTTCCCCAAGAACACTGACGATCTCATGTAAGAAATCAGTGCTTCTTGCGGAAATACTATGCTGCTCCCGTTCGGGCAAAAGTCCTTTTGCGCAAAAGTTTTGCGCAAAAGGGCCAGTGTAGACAGCTCAGATTTGTTTTGCGCAAAAAAGCCCTGATCGCAAAAATGGCAATTGGGGCTTTTTTGCGGAAAAGCGCGTCTAGATTGGCACGGATGCTTTTCTGCAAAAAGTGCTTTCGCGGAAAAGCGTCCATGCCAATCTAGACGCTCTTTTCTGCAAACGCTTTTAACGGAAAACTTTTCCGTTAAAAGCATTTCCAGAAAATCATGCCAGTCTAGACGTAGCCTCGGTGTTCCTACTGTAACTTTCTGTCTTCAGTGGCTCACAACTTTCTAAAAGTCCCCTTCCCCTCCCCCCAATGAGTGGCAATGATCCATATCTGGTCTCTTTCCGAGGTGATTTCTGCCTCCTATTTCTCCCCAGTTCTTCTTATTCTGATTATAAAAGGAGAATATAAAGGCTATGTCTACATTGGTAAGATTTTGCGCAAATACTTTTAACGCAAGAGTTTTTGCGTTAAAGTATTTGCGCAAGAGAGCGTTTACACTAGCATGTGCCTTTGCGCAAGAGATGTGCTTTTGCGCAAAAGCATACATGCCAGTGTAGACGCTCTCTTGCGCAAGAAAGCTCCTATGGTCATTTTAGCCATAGGGCTTTCTTGCGCAAGAAATTAACGTTGCCTGTCTACACTGGCCTCTTGCGCAAGATCAGTTGCGCAAAAGGGCTTATCCCTGAGCAGGAGCGTCAAAGTATTTGCACAAGAAGCACTGATTTTATACATTAGAACATCAGTGTTCTTGTGCAAAGACTTTTGCGCAAAATCTTGCCAATGTAGACACAGCCAAAGGGAAAAGCCCACAACAGAAATATTTTGCAATCTCTACTGCTTGTATATTCACATACACACATTCACAGAAAGAAACACACATGGAAAGAAGACACAAAGAAAAGAGTAGTCTGTAGTAGGGATATATAATAAGCCACAGCCAGGGCTGAAGGGGTTATAGAATTGCTGTGTAGCGATGCACACTCCAATAGCATATGGTAGACATTCCATCCTTATAATGAGCACAGTTTGCTTTCTCCAAGGTAAGCCTTGCTCTGCTGGATGCAGGAGTGAAATCACATTCTCTTCCTTTATGGAATCTGGTATATTACCTGCACTAGGTCTCTTCAAATCCCGATCATCAAGCATATAAAGGACAAGGCATTGGGCATATTCACAGAAACTAGAGCCCAAAAGAGCTGTATCATTACCTGCACTAGGTCTCTTCAAATCTCGATCATCAAGTATATAAAGGACAAGGCATTGGGCATAATCCCAGAAACTAGAGCCCAAAAGAGCTGTATCTGTAGGCTCTTCTCCCAACTTGTATACCCCCTAGAGCAACGGTTCCCAACCTCCACTCTGTGGACCAGTGGTGGACTGCAAACCCATCTGACAGGCCACCACACATTGCCAGGCCATGCCCCCAGCATTTATTTAGTCCCGCAGCCTGGGGTTCCCAGGGAATTCCCTACCACATCGCATGGAGCAACAGGGTGAAAGGGGTGTAGTTGGGTGTGGTGTGGCTGGAACCAGGGCCACAGTGAGGCTGTCTCTACTGGGGCAGCCTATGCATGGCCCCAGTTCCAGCTCCAGCGATTGCTATGTGGCAGGGCCAAGCACCACATATACAGCGGTTGCCCCGGCACCAGAAGGAGCTGCACAGGGCAGGGGGGGAGGGAAGCCCTGAGAAGCCCTGAGCCCCTTTAAAGCCACATTGGGGGTGAGGGGCAGCAGGCAGCCTCAGGTAACTGAACAGGGCCCCATAAACTGAAAACATGGCTCTTTGAGCCTCTCATCTCAAAACAAAATACAGCTATCCTGAGCCCTAATCTTCCTCTCTTGATTTCACTCATCAAACTATATTCATTGGAGATAATATTGAGCTACAAAGATCTGGGTGGCTAATCATGCCCATCATTTCTGCTTCAGACACAGACACTTCACGGGGCTGTTTTATGTGCATTTCTGCCACCTGTGGAGTGACTTACAATGACATGTATTGTGTGCATACAGATGCAATTTAAAATAACACATGACCTCTTAATATTACAATAGTGAATATGCAAATATTTACTTGCTGGTCCGCCAACACTTTTTGAATGAGTTTGCCAGTCCTAGGTATAAAAAAGGATGGGAACCACTGCCCAGTGAGCCACAAACTGGCCTTTACCATCAGCTACAGAATGTACAAACTAAAAAAAAGAATTGCGAGCCCCTCAGGGCGGGACTGTCCTTTTATTCTGTAATTGTGTAAGGCATAGCAACATGGAGTCACAGCCCATCATGAGCACAATAATAATACAAATAGTACATAATAATCATTGGTCTTTGGTCTCACGGTTAAGGCACTGGATTAGGAATCAATTCCTAGGTCTGCCACAAACTTCCAGGATGATACTGGACAAGTTACAGTCTTAATCTAGGTCTCAGTTTGCCGTTAGGTCAAATGGGATTCATAATACTTAATTATTCTCACATTTTTGTCAGTCCTGTCTATTTAAACTGTTAATAATTCAGAATGGGAACTGTATCTTATTATGCAACTCATCTACCACAATGCAATCAGGGAGGCTGGCATGATGCAGAGAAGATGGGCAGGAGCCCGGAGTGCAGCCCAGCTGGGATCCCCAAGAGGCCAGGAGCTGGGAAGCTGCCACGCTGCCAGAACAGGGAGAAGGGAGAGGTGGCACAATGCAGAGGAGGGGCCCAGGACCAGTGTTTCTTTCCCCTTTAAGCTGTGTGGTATCCCAGTTTCACAGGTGATTAATCAGACCCATCCAGTCAGTGACCATTGTTTCTTTCCCCTTCTAAGCTGTGTGGTATCCCAGCTTCACAGGTGATTAATCAGACCCATCCAGTCAGAGGCTCAGGGCATGGAGCTGACTGACTGGGCGTGGCTGATTAATCACCTATGAAGCTAGGCTGCCCCACAGCTTAGAAGGAACACTGCCCAGGAGTCCAGCAGGATGCAGGGAGGGGAGCTGGGACAGTGGTGCAATGTGGGGTGCTTCAGCCAGGCTGCAGGGGGGTGGGTGTTGGGAGAGACAGGAAGGCCATCACGCAACCCAGTAGAGCGGCAGGGCAGGGTGTGGGACCAGCATCAGGGGGCTCAGAAATGACCTCTTCTGGTCCAGCAAAATCCCTCATCCAGCACCACTTAGATTCCAAAGATCTCGGACCAGGAAGGTCCAACCTGTAGAACATATCAATACTATCACGAAAGAGCTGAACATCTGTAAACACTGAAAGTGTGTGCTTCAAATAAAGAACTCAAGGATAATTACAGCAATGAAGCACAAGAAGAATTCACTCTAAATCTCTATGTTCAATAACTTTTATTTTTTCTTCAAAAAATTCAGCTACTAGGGCTGAAATTCCAGATGCACTTTTAATTTATTACCCTCATTTACAGAGAAAATCAATGGTATAAACTTTTAATCCTCAGGAAGAAGTGTGTGTGAGGAGGGTACTTAGAAATAAAATAGTTAAAATAACATTAGGTATAAATTAATGAAACTAAGGAAAGAAAGAAAGAATCATCTATCATTTCCTTTTCTATTTACGCATGTCTATCTATCAATCTATGAGAGTTTGTTCATCTGTCTGACAGTCCATCCATGAATCCATCCGTCTGTGGGTCTTTTTGCTCAAGAACTCCTAAATGGTAAGAGCTAGCACCACTACATTTGGTATGAAGCTTCCTCTTATCCTAACTTAAAGCAAGGTCAGGGTTTGGTTGCACCAGAAAAATGAGATGTGCGTGGTATCAAATTGTTTCCCCCAAAGGAAGGGGGCTGAGATAGGGACAGCTATGCTTTGTAATGACTACAGAGATGTGGCCGCTCCAGGAAGAGAGTGGCCAGCTGGGGGCGGAGGTGGCCATTGGCCATGAGTAAGTGACCCTCTCTCTTCCCCCAAACTCCTGCACTTGGCCCTCAGCCAAGGGATGTTAAGGTTTAACCGATTAATTGATGAGCTGATGCTTATCGGTTAATGTTATCAGTTAAACTCTTCCCTGTTCCTGGAAAGGTGGTTTCCCTGCGGCAACAAAGCCTCCTCCCCAGGAACAGAGCCAGCAGTAGCTCTCCCAGCCAACCCCCTACCTTAAGTTCTGCAACCCCCACTACCTACCCTGAGCCCCGCCAACCTCTGCCCAGACTCCTGCACCTCTACTCTGCCAGTCCCATGCCATGAAAGTCCCAAGCAACACCAAGTAAATCTTTTACTATAGATATAACAACATTCTTGTGCAGATCTGACCAAAAAAAATCACTCTTAAAAGCCGTGTGATGCACATTGTCTCTACTAACTGTTTGCTATCCTTAAAGACTGCATCAGAAGGGTGCAACATATTCGGCAGTATGTATGGGTGCCTTCCCAACTGCGCTCTTTGGGATGCAGAATATTCTGGAGTGCAAAAGCTTAGCAGGCACATTTTGATTTTAAAGGCAAAATTACGGAATACAGTTTTGCTTTGTTTCTTTTTCCTGACAAGTCAGCAGGAGATGCCAGAGGGGAACTGCTGTTATTGCAGGTAAAATCAGATGCTGGAAGCTCTGCTGCTACTAATGATAAGAATTTTAGGGAGAATAAAGGGAATAAAGTTCCTATTTTCTGTTCAGTTCTCAACTTCCAAAGCCTGATTTTAAGCTAGCACTACCATTTCTACTGCACAAATCCAGCAACTCAGAGTTTCCAGGTCGTCTCTGCCCCAGGGAGAAAAACTTGTCAATAAGGGGACTGAGGTATTGGGGAAAGAAGAAACTTCAAAGGAATACATCTGATAATAATGGTGTAGCAGATGAGTAAGCTTTGTGCTGAAAGCAGTTTTTTCTCTCACACTTGAGCAGGAGTCAGGCCAAATGTATAATATTTGCATATCCCTATCTCATCACTGAATATACTTTTTAAATACAGACTCCTAATTTTCAGTCTCTTCCAGCCATTTCAGCTATTGACTTGAGGTGTAGTCATTGTGGGGGAGGGCTGTTTTGTTTTGTCTCTTAAGATGGAAGAACTCTGGAAATAGGTGAGTCAATGTTAAAGACTGAATTTTCCAGACCTAATTCAAGGAGTACTGTCAGGTGCCCTTACTGTATACAAGATAACCAAATTGAACAATGATGTTAAGCTCTAGCCAGTCTATAACTGTGACTGCAACTAGCAGCAAGTCAACAGTCAAAAAGTATACTTCTTATTCTCAGCAAGTTCCTTCTCTTCAGAGGTAGTCATGTCATGAATGCATCCAAACATACCTACCTTAGGCTCACAGAAATTACACTGGGGCCAAAGAGAGTACAGTGGTCAGCATCTTTTTAAATAAATCACGAATACTTTTTTAATATATTAAGGAAATTGCAATATGACAAACAAAACCTACCCATTTAGAATCCCTTAAACAAATAGAAATCTGACTTTTCTTTCAACTGATTTGCATCATGATATACGATAAACAAGATGTTTTACAAATAAATGCTGTGGTCCACTGGAAGACACAAGCACTAACTTAACTCCATATAATTTCATTAAAAAGCAAAAGACAATGCCAGTGTTTTCCTCCCTTCAAACCAAGAGTACACTATTCCTAATCAAGAAAAATAAAGAAAAAAACAACCAGAACAGAATAAACAAGATGTTTTACAAACAAATGCTGTGGTCCACTGGAATACACAAGCTCTAACTTAACTCCATATAATTTCATTAAAAAGCAAAAGACAATGCCAGTGTTTTCCTCCCTTCAAACCAAGAGTACACTATTCCTAATCAAGAAAAATAAAGAAAAAAACAACCAGAACAGAAATAGTTAACAGTATTAATTAAAGAAGAATAGTAATTAGCCAAGCTGCTTCACTAACAGCAAAGATCTATGGATTCTATGAGAAAACTGTCTTTAATTCTATAGGGTTAAAACTGTCTTTAACCCTCTGCTCTCAACAGCATTATAGTTAGGAGTGAATTCAGTGACAAGTTCTGCAGCTGCAAGATCACAGAATATACAGCAAATGCATGAAAAAATCTTTCTCTTGTCTGTTGCAGTAAGACTCTGGTAAGCTCACCTTTAAGTACCCATAGCACAGTTCAGCCACCAAGCCTCAATGTTCAAGAGGCAGCTCTTCAGATAATAATATTTTATCTCTAACCCTACATATTTAGGGTATTCCCTGATATATTTCCTGATCCTGGGAAGACCAAGAACCTGGATCTACTGCTGAGTGCAAAATGACTGCAATGGGAGTTGCACATACTCTGTACATCTTGGGTTCATGCCCCAAGAGGCCTAATTCTGTAGTCCTTATTCATCAGAATAGTCCCATTCATATTTATGAACTACTCACACGAGTAAGGGCTGTAGGAACGAGTCCTTGGGAAGCCATTCCCACTCTTAGAAGCATCTTGTAATTATGCAAATTACAAAACCCCAAAATATGTAAATATTCCTGCTTTTCCCTTATTCTCTCCAGCATCTCAGATTTTTATCTTGCCCTGTTATTCTGGGTTTTTTAGAAAAGTAGAGGCGGCAATAAAAACAAACCCTTTCTTAAAACTTTAAAATAATGAGATTTTATAAAAGAAGTCTCTGAAAAATACTTACTTGGCTTTGAGGGACTTCATGGTCAGCTCCCCAATAGAGGGTCATACCAAGAGAATAAACATGAATCTGTAATACAACACATACTATCCGTCAATTTAATGAAGGGTCAGGCCTGGAAATTCATCTGTACATTCTAGAGTATTAAGTGGGTGTAATGAACTTGGTATTCTGAAACGGGGTGGTCATTCCCTTCTTCTCCCCCTCCCCTCGAATTAGGTGCACAATTAAATTTTTGACAACTAAGCTTAGCCTCCTTGCCTTGAAGAGCTTTCAAACTGTCCTTCACCCGTGTCATTAGTGTCAGAGCAGCAAATCCTGTTATGAGAAAAGACTTGAAAAAACTAATGCTCCTCTAACTTTTCCATTTAATTTTTACTATCCCTTTGAGAGGAAGCCCCAGTATACATAAATAAGATAACATTTGATGGTGATCAACAATACTGAAATGCAGCAGAGTATTCCAACACTGCAAATCTTAAAAGGTGCACAAAAGGTGGCGAAAAGCTTAGGATGACGTAAACAGTGGCTTCTGTTTGCACCAATTAGGTGCACAATTAAATTTTTGGCAACTAAGCTTAGCCTCCTTGCCTTGAAGAGCTTTCAAACTGTCCTTCACCCGTGTCATTAGTGTCAGAGCAGCAAATCCTGTTATGAGAAAAGACTTGAAAAAACTAATGCTCCTCTAACTTTTCCATTTAATTTTTACTATCCCTTTGAGAGGAAGCCCCAGTATACATAAATAAGATAACATTTGATGGTGATCAACAATACTGAAATGCAGCAGAGTATTCCAACACTGCAAATCTTAAAAGGTGCACAAAAGGTGGCGAAAAGCTTAGGATGACGTAAACAGTGGCTTCTGTTTGCCAGTGAATTTTCACCTATGTGCATAACATACGAGGATGTCATCTTAAAATTTCAATCATTGCCAACTCTTCATAACAGTGAATGTGTTTTCCTACATATGTGTATAGGTCCCAGCACAACAAACCATTCCAGTGCGGGACAGGCGGGGAGAGGGGGGCTTGCACTGGACTTGCTGTAATAGAAATAAACAAACAACAGAAAACAATAGTGAATAATAAAGACTCTGCATTGTTTGCATATATAATGTGGTAATGTTTCTCTTTGTACTGGAAAAACTAACTATTGTATAGTGACTGTGTATAAGGCGACAACCTGGGAAGCAGTGATCACAAGATGGTAGATTTCAGGATCCTGACCAAAGGAAGAAAAGAGTAGTAAAATACAAACATCGAACTTCAGAAAAGCAGACTTCGACTCCTTCAGAGACCTGATGGGCAGAATAGGGATGCTAACATGTAGGTGAAAGGAGCCCAGGAGAGCTGGCAGTATTTTAAAGAAGCCTTATGAAGGCATAGAAATAAACCATTGCAATGTGTAGCAAGAGAAGCAAATATGGTAGGAGACCGGATTGGATCACCGGGGAAATCCTTGATGAACTTAAGCACAACAAGGGAGCTTACAAAAAGTGGAAACTTGGACAGATGACTAGGGAGGGGTATACATGTATAGCTTTTGAATTCAGGGGAGATATCAGAAAGGTGAAAGCGTAGTTGGAATTGCAACTCGCAAGGGATGTGAAGGATAACTAGAAAGGTTTCTATAGGCATGTTAGCAAAAAGAAGGTGATCAGAGGCCCCTACTGGATGAGGGCAGTAACCTAGTGACAGACGATGTGGGGAAAGCTGAAGTACTTAATGCTTTCTTTGCCTCTGTCTTCACGGACAAGGTCAGTTCCCAGACTAATGCGCTTAGTAACACAATAGGGGACGAAGGTGGATAGCCCTTGGTGGGGAAAGAAAGGTTGATAATAGGGGACGAAGGTGGACAGCCCTTGGTGGGGAAAGAAAGGTTAGGAACTGTTTAGAAAAGCTAAACGTACATAAATCCATGGGTCCAGACTTAATACATCCGAGGGTACTGAGGGAGTTGGCAAATGTCATTGAGGAGCCTTTGGCCATTATCTTTGAAAAGTCGTGGAGATCGGGAGAGATCCCAGATGATTGGAAAAAGGCAAATGTAGTGCCCATCTTTAAAAAAGGGAAGAAGGACGATACAGGGAACTATAGGCCGGTCAGTCTTACTTCCATCCCTAGAAAAATCATGGAGGGGATCCTTAAGGAATCCATTTTGAAGCACTTGGAAGAGGGAAAGGTGATCAGGAATAGTCAGAATGGATTCATGAATGGCAAGTCGTACCTGACAAATCTGATTAGCTTCTATGATGAGGTAACTGGCTCTGTGGATATGGGGAAGTCAGTGGATGTGATATACCTTGACTTTAGCAAGGCTTTTGATACGGTCTCCCACAACATTCTTGCCAGCAAGTTAAGGGAATGTGGATTGGATAAATGGACGGTAAGATAGATAAAAATCTGGCTGAAAGGTCAGGCCCAGTGGGTAGTGATCAACGGCTCAATGTCAGGATGGTGGGCGGTTTCTAGCAGAGTGCCCCAAGGTTCGGTTCTAGGACCGGTTTTGTTCAACATCTTTATTAATGACCTGGATGAGGGGATGGATTGCACCCTCAGCAAGTTTGCGGATGACACTAAGCTAGTGGGAGAGGCAGACATTCTGGAGGGAAAGGATAGAGTCTAGAGTGACGAATTGGAGGATTGGGCGACAAGAAATCTGATGAGGTTCAACAAGGACAAAGTGTAGAGTCCTGCACATGGGACGAAAGAATCTCAAGCACTTTCACAGGCTGGGGACCAACTGGCTAAGTAGCAGTTCTGTAGAAAAGGACCTGGGGGTTACAGTGGATGAGAAGCTGGACATAAGTCAACAGTGTGCCCTTGTAGCCAAGAAGGCTAATGGCATACTAGGTTGCATTAAGAGGAGCACTGCCAGTCAATCCAGAGATGTGATTATTCCTCTTTACTCAGCTCTGGTGAGGCCAAATCTTGAGTATTGTATCCAGTTCTGGGCCCCCAATTACAGGAAGGATGTGGATGCACTGGAGAGGGTCCAGCGGAGGGCAACCAAAATGGAGCTGGAGCATATGACCTATGAGGAGAGACTGAGGGAGTTGGGTCTATTTAGTCTGCAGAAGCGAAGAGTGAGGGGGGATTTGATAGCAGCCTTCAACTTCCTGAAGGGAGGTTCCAAAGAGGCTGGAGAAAGGCTGTTCACAGTAGTGATGAATGGCAGAAAAAGGAATAATGGTCTCAAGTTACAGTGGGAGAGGTCTAGGTTGGATATTAGGAAAAACTATTTCACTAGCAGGGTAGTGAAGCACTGGAAGGGGTTCCCTAGGGAAGTGGTTTGCTGCTTTAAATGTAATGATTTTAATAAAGTGGATGAAATGGAGAGCAGAGCCCAGATAGTGAAATGGTTTCAATGAAACACCTAATTATCTTTTATAACAGCCAGGAATGAGCATCAGATATCATTAATAACTAATATAACCAAAGCAAATTGGCCTTTATCAGTAAGCTGATTCTAGTATCAACTGTTACATTTAAAACAAGAGGTGCATAATATTATTTTAGTAACTACTTGAAGCACTAGCTATATGCAGTTAGAATCATCAGACAGACATCAATATTTTATAAACATTTTCGAAACGTGTGAAAATTGGGCAAAAATTGTTCATGAACTTAAGCAATAGAACCTACATAACAATGAAATGCAAACCTGACTTTCACTGTTTTTCTATATAGGTTGGACCTTCCTGGTATGGCACCTTGCAGACCTGACTTATCTCAGATGAGGGATTTTTGCCAGATCAGAGAAGGTTAGTTCTGGGCCCACTGCTGCCAACCTGATCCTCTGCCCTGCCTCCCCATGGGCTTCCTGGCTCCTCTTACAGCCCAGTTGAGCCACCAATACTTTCCCCCGCAGCCCAGCTGACCGGTGCACTGGGCTTCCTGTCTTATGCCCCCCACCCACTGCAGCCCAGTTGGGCCACCAAACACCTCCCTCCTGCATTATGCCCAGCTCCCCACTCTCCACAGTGCAATTGAGACTCCCTGATCTTAGAACACCTGTGGTTGCCAGACCTGATTCTGTGGAAGACAAAGGAAAGAACTACCATAATGAATATTATTAGTCTAGTTTTATGAAACAATATTACAATATAGTGTCAAAGAACAGCCCCACCTGGCAGCACCCTCCTGAGGTAGGCTGTGGAACAAGTGTCCCCTCTCAAGGAACCCAAGAACTCCACTTCAGGCTCCAATAATACTTTCTATGGGGCAAGTTTATTATCAGTTCAGTTCATAACAAAAGTCCCCAACATAATCCATCTGTCATCCTAGCACACAGGGTTTTCAAATCCCCATAACATCTCACATTCCAGAATCTTCTGCCACACACTAGGCTCCTCACCAGCTCTCACTGTCGCTCTGCAAAGGATGGCCCCCTAACTCCTTCAACTGAGTGTGAGCTCACTCTTCTCTATGGTAAACTCCCTACCACCTCTCTGCTGGGAAATCATCTTCACTAGGGAAGCAACTTTCCCTCTCCTTACTCCTGTGGGACCAGCACTCTGGCCTCAGATCTGTCAGCAGGTAAATTCTTCTGGTGCTCTCTGGCCCTTGGCTACATCTCTTCAGTTTAGATGTCAATCATCAACTCCCTCTGCTGCTGTCTGTCCCTGGCATTTTAGCTTCAGGATGTCAGCCAGCAAACCCCTCTTTGCCATTTTCTTGCCTTCAGTCTTCCTCCAGGCTACGGCTACAGCTTCCTTCCAGGATGCTGGACAGTCCCTTTATGGCTCTCACCTGCCTCTTTCCCGATGGACCCTCCAAGGTCCCTCTGTTTCACCAGCAGCCTCAGCCTCTCATATTCTTTCTGTCCTTTGTTGTCTGCACTTGTTCTGGCAAAGGAGAGGTGAAGCTACTTCCTGAACAGAAACTCCACCCTGTGATGTACATCATATTTACACAATATAGACATTCCTATTTAAAAGTCTTCTTGAACTGCAAAATCAACACTGAAGTGCAGAATATGCACAAAGATCTAAATAAAGTATTATGCCAAGAGATTTGTGACCTGAATACTAAGTGAGACTGAAACCAGCCTCCTTCATTTAACTGCCA